AAGGAAATAAAATCAAGGCAGAGGAAGATGTCAAATTCAAGAAGTCTTATAGGACAAAAGATTATACAAGAAAGGAAATGTGGTCATAATTTTACCTATTTCTGTCTGTTCTTTAAAATGTAAATATAAATTCCTGACTCAATGTAAAATGTTTCTGAAGATAGAGGAAGAATGGGAAAGGAAAAACCAGCAAATTAAAAACATTTTGTGTGTGTGTTTCTATGGAAGGAAATCAGAAGTGTTAAAAAATTTTAACTTGTATCTTTCATAAGAAAATCAACAGATATCAAGCAGGAAAAAATTAAGAACAGCAATCAGAACATGGTAAAATATGAGGGAAAATACTAAAAACCGTTAGAAGTAACTACGAGAAGTTATGGGAAGTGAGAAGAACTGTATAGAGGAGGTGGAACTTGCTGGTTTTCATCAAATACTGTGTAGTACTACATGACTTCCAAAGTCATTAATATATATTACTTTAATAAGGCTAAACATACCTTTAAATAAAAATGTCATTAGTGATGGGACTTTAGCTCAGTGGTAGTGTTGCCCAGCATGTGTGAAGCCCTAGGCTTGATACTGAACTACACTAAAATGAAAAAACACAATGTAAATAAGGTGAAATGCGCAGCTTGCCGGGCAGGCCCTGCCCCTGGGGCGCATTGAGACAGCCACTGAGACTGGGTGTGGTGGTGCAGGCCTGTAATCCCAGAGCTTGGGAAGCTGAAAGCAGGAGGATCACTACAAGTCTGATCTACATAGTGAGACGCTGTAGACCCTGCCCTAAATACAGAAAAAAAAAAAAAGTGAAATAAAATAGATATGAAGTTTTTAGAATACTAACCCAAAAAGAGCTAAACAATATAGTTTATAACCCAAATAGTATAAATTCATACAGAAAGGTCTAGAGGGAGGCTTGTCACACTCCACAGGGAAAATGCAATCAGAGAGATGTGACACTAGGCAACCTGTTTCTCCCTCTGCCTCCATTATTAATTTTACCCAATAAAGGTTTTTGTGAGGAATTTTTAATTCCAGATATATATTCACTGTTGTGAGAAAAACCAGATGAATGTACTTGATATGACTCCCATTTGCATGTTTTAAAAAAATACGTACCTCCTAAACTTTAAAGAAAATCAAAAGAACCTTTTGGTCTCAAACAAAATATTATCCAAAGTCCAACACAAGCAGTGGAAATTCACCTGCTCTAAATAAAACAGAGCGAAGTCTCAGCTTCTATCTCCCTCAGGCCTTCTCAGGGCCCCAAAGTATCTTCAGGGCTCCTGACAGCAGTTTGGAAACTACTATTATCATAAAAACACAGTAAAGTAAAGCTCAGACCATGACCTTCTCTCAAGCGGGGATTCCGAGTGCTTTCTCCTTTTGTTTTTTTGTATCATCAGTCACACACACACACACACACACACACACACACACACACACACTTTTCTATGAATTGTATAAATTCATTTAAGTAATAATTAGGTTTCCTAGATATGCCTATCTACTCATCAAACCCTGCTATGTCTATGGGGGAAAGGTTGAAATGGCAACAGAATTTTACTTATCTTTCTAAGTTATTATTCCCTATTCTTATCTATATCGTAGGTTGATTTCAGTCATACATATATATTTTCCTAGAAAATTTCATCTTTTCACAATTTCAAGTTTATTAGATAAGTTTAAGATAATTTTATTCTTTTCAAAAATAGTTTTTAAATGGTTTTTTTCAACTTTACTTTGACAATATTCACTAATAAGGTAACTTACAATTTCTTTTTCTAGCTTTGGATTTGTTGTTGCTATTCTTTTCCTAGCTTCTTTTGGTAGGTTTGCTTGGTGTTACTGGAGATTAAAATTTAATCCAGTGCCTTTGCACTGACCGATATCCTTAGCCCTTTTTGGACGTTTTAGACAACATCTTGCTAAATTGTCTAAGCTCGCCTTGCACTTGTCATCCTCTTGCCTCAGCTTCTCAGATGGCTGTGATTACAGCTGTGTGCCACCACATATGGCTCTTTTTCTAGCTTCTTAAATTAAAACTCAAGTTCATTACTTTTACAAAAGCATTCAAAAAGCTGGACATGGTGACACATGCCTGTTATCCTAGCACTCTAGGAGGCTGAAGCAGAAAAACTGTAAGGTTGAGCCCAGCCTGGGCAACTTAGAGAGGCTCTGTCTCGATCAATCAATATAATAAAATGAAATAAAAGAAAATAAAAACTAAAAAGAGGCTGAGGATAGCTCAGTGTGAAGATGCTGGGTTCAATCCCAATACTCGGAGGTGAGAAAAGGTGATTAAAAGCTATTAATTGATGATTTTGGCCACATTCCCTTGTGTATTTGTTCTTCAGTGTTATTATTAATTTCTAATCAATATCCAATTTTAATATCTTACTGCCTATGATCCAGTTGCCATTTTGAGTAGTTTTGTTTGGTTTTTAAACCTTTAATTTATTGATCTCTAGTTTTATTTCACTGTAATAAAGAATAGTGACCTGTGGTGTTTAATGAATATTCTATTTTGAAATTTTTAAAATACATTATATGATAAATTTTTGTCAAAGTTCCATGACATCTGAAATTTATACTTTAATAACTTTTAGCTATTTGGTCTTTTAACAACCTTTTCCCTCTGGCTCTGGTCTTCTTTCAGGAGTTTCTTGCTCATCTCTTTTTGCAGTCCTCCATCGTCTATACTGAATTGACTACTGAACATTAGTGATCGTTCTCTACTGCAGAAATTCTCCAGTTTTCTAGTTCATAGTGGCTCACTCTGCCATCATGGAAACATTTTTCTCCTTAATGTCACATTTCCACTTCAATAGAAAATTTTGAGAAATAAAAACTAAATATTGTGGGCTCAATGTATAATGTTCAGACTTGAAAATAAGCTGTGTTTGAGCTCCAGTTCTACCACTTCTTTACTGTAGGTCTTTGAATATGTTACTTCAATCCTCAGGGCTTCTGTTTTTAATATAAAATGAAAATAATTATAGTAGTTACCACCTAGGCTTGTTAAGAGAGGTAATTGAGAAAATGGAGACAAACCACTGAGCAGATCATCTGACAAGCAGTAGAACATTAGCTATTGTTGCAAAGGGAACTTTGGTCTGAATTTTTTTTATTACTTAATGTCAAACATAAATTAAGCAACATTTTCAACCACAGCCTCATCATATAAATAATAAAATTTATGGATATGCTTGACAATCCAATTTATTAAGACTGTTAGCTGATCACAATACTATAGCCTAACTTCATTAATTACATTCGACTACTTGACATTTCTATCTTTCTACTATATAAATGATACTCAGATAATTTTTCTTTCTGTGGCTTTAAAAAGAAAATCAAACATATACTCAAAAAATAGAAAGTAGGAACTCAGATAATTGTACACCATGTTCAAAGCTGTACAATCAGAAGGTAAGAACAACCCAAGTGCCCATACATGGATGAATAGATAACCAAAATACAAGTATACACATACAAGAGAATATTATTCCGTCTTAATAAGAAAGTATGTTCTAAAGCACACTACAATGTGGATAAATTTTGAAGACATTATGCAAAGTGAAATAAGCCAGATACAAGAAGACAAATATTTTACTATTCCACTTAGATGCGGTACTTAAGAGTAGTAAATTCAGACTGAAAGAATGATGGTTGCCACAGACTGGTGAAGGGGGAGAATAGGGAGATGTTCATTGGGTACAGAGCTTCAGTTTTGCAAGATAAAAAAGAATTCTGGAGACTGACTGAACAACAATATAATTGTTCTTAAAACCATTGAATTTCACACTTAAAACTTAAGATAGTACATTTTATGTTATGTATATTTTACCAAAATTAAAAAAAAAAAAAAACAAGTACTTTGGTAGTGGCTATTTTATATTTGATTCCACACAATACTATTTATAATCATATTAAAATATTTTGAAAATATGCCATGAAACTGGACATATCATGTAGTGTTCAGGGAGCAAGTATGAACCTTCTACTTTCTCACACTTGGTCTACTGCTCCTAAGTCATTAAGAGGTGAGGATGGGAGTCACATTTTACTCACAAAGAGTTTACTCCCTGAAAAGTGAACACAGAGACTGGGTGTGGTGGCGCGTGCCTATAATCCCAGCACTTGGGAGGCCGAAAACAGGAGAATCACTATGACTCTGATCTACATAATGAGACCCTGTACCAAATACATTAAAAAAAAAAAAAAAGTGAATACAGAGGTGTAAGAAGTACAGGTTTAATTCTACTTGAGTAAATCTACCTTAATAAAGAAATATTTATATAAAAAATTTCTTTATACCAACATTTTATTTATGATGGCAGAAATGAGAAAAAAGTGTACAACTGTGAGTAAATGCCTAAATAATTTATGTAGCAAACGGAGTAGTATACACTAAATAAAAATGATTCTTATAAATAAAAACAGAAAAAATGCTCATATAATAGACAAATTAACTATGTAAAAATGTACATTTGAAAAAGACAGCAATAAGACAGTAATATATTAATAGGTAATTACCTTTTCTTGCTTTTTAAAAAAACTGATACAGAGTCTCACTATGCAGTTCAGACATGTAGTGATCCTCCTATCTCAGCCTCCTCAGTGCTGAGATTATAGGTGGGCGTCACCACGCCTGGTTTCAGGGCTGGCACGGTGTGCCCAGGGGCTCTGGGGCCAGCAGGGCATGTGGTACAGGGGGCTGAACTCAGGACCTTGTGCTTAAAGGCAGGCACTTATGCCACTGAGCTATCGCCCCAACCCAGTAAGTAATTACCTCTGAGAAATAAGAATAACACTTTTCCTTGTCTTTATATTCTCTATACGTTAGACACAGTTTCATTCTGCTTCCGTATGTTTCTTTTTGTAATCAACTGTTAAAGCTTTTGATTTTTATATTTTCAAATGTATCCATTTATTTTTTTTAAAAAGATGTAGAAAGAGAAAAGAACAAATTTAACATTTCCTTCCTAAATACTCACATTCTCAGGTATGCTGGGAAGTTCTCTGGTATCAGGCACAGTAAAGTAAGAATGCTGGAAAACAAAAGCACAAGCTGTATATTTTTTGCAAGAATGTATAGCAAGCATATTAGTCAAAATTCAGATAAATAATTTGAAGATACTTTCTTACTTAGATGAAGATAACAGAGTTGCCATGAAATTATCCATGGAATGTTTTCTTAGGACAATGCTAGATTAAACCAGCTGTATTAACTCATCAGTTTGTTGCATGAAGTTCTTTTCTATGAGCGATGAACTTCTTTAGGGAGCGCAAAGAGATTAAAGGCTAAATTTCCTTATGATACTTGAAGGCTTCTGAACACATGAAAGCTGTAGGTTTTACAACTTATTGTTCAACAGTGCAGATGGGCTCTAGAGGCCAAATAGCAGTAAATTCACCCAGTGTCAGTCTTTGTCAGCCAGAGCTGCCATTTCCCTTCAGCATTTGAGATTATATCCATCTATAAACTATGATGAAAATCTGCCCAAGTGACACAAAGGACACCTACAGTTGAAGGATCACTGCACCTACAGCACTACAGCTGTTTAACAATGAGAGCCTCTCTAGGACGCACACTCTGAGAGCCTAACTTCTAGTGGCTGCCAGTGGAGGGACCTGGAGACGTGATGCAGTCAAAAACTGGCCTCTTCAAAGACTTTCAAGGAGGCATTTCCACATATCCACCAAGCATGTGCCCTTGCATTTAAATGACAACAGGTTCAACTGATGATACCTCTTTCGCCTCTGTTAAAGACTCAGAGGATAATGGTAAGCAGGACTGGAAAAAGCCTGGTGACGGCCAATTAAAGACGGGATCGTGAAAGGCCAGGCGAGGTCATGTACAGAGAAGGTCAGCTTAGTCATAGCCTGAGTTTAAACCTGGACCCCAAAGTGTCATTTTAGGAAGTGCTACTCTACTCTCTATTTCTGGGTAACTGCAAAATAGTTAGGTTCCTAGAAAAAAATGAAAGGCCTTAGGAACAACTGTAACAATAACAATAAATAGTATGAGATGCTTGTAAGTCAACAGAAGCTTATGAATCACTTGTTATATGGGAGACTTCACAACAAGCACCTTATAAATATTATCTCTAAGCTCCATAATAAATTATGTATCATATTACAAATGAAAAGTTAATATTCACAGAGGCAAAATATTCAAATGTCACAGAGCTCATATGTGGTAGAACTAGGACTGAGACCAGGTCTGTATGATGAGAACCATGTCCTGTAGACTATATCAGACTATTTTATTTTATTTTTATATGTAAATTATAGCTAAAAGAACTTGAATTAAAATAACAAACTAAAAAGTAAAAATCAATATTTAAAATATTAAAAAGCTCTGCAATGTACTGTTCCAAAATCTGTGTGTATCAATATGGTATCTATGAAATATAATAAATGGTACCACAAGGAAAATAATTGAACAATGAGGATTGAAATAGGGAAAGTAAAGCACAAGGCTCAAACTGGCTCCATAAGATACCAACTTAATGCCACATTCTGGAAGCAGCTTCTGGAAGCATGTAGTACCAGATGCCCACACAGTGAGGGAGACATCAAGTAGGGTGTGACACAGTCAGAGACAGAACTGGCTCAAGTGTCGTCCACTTGATCGCTATGTGAGCTCCGGCAACTTAATAGCACAAAACCTCAGTTTCAGAATCTATGAGTAGGAACCATACTGTATACTTCAAAAATCGTTGTGAGGAAAAAAACATTATATATATGCAGTGCCTACTCTTTAATAAATGGTATTTTATTATAAAATTATTATTTGCTCTCAAGTGCTAGCTTGCATTTCTATTTTTCTCAATTATATATATCAGATACATGGAAACACTCCCTTACAGAATGACTAAAGATACCGTCTTTAGACGGTTTACTGATGACGGCTTACCAAAACTTCGGGATTTATAAGCTAGATGAGACTAGTCTTCAAAATCAGAGATGCAACGTGAACAGAATTCATGGTGAAAAAAGAAAAAAAAAAGTTGCCTTTACAGATGCAATGGATTGTAAATGGTGAGTCAACGCAATTCCAAAACTGAGTAGTCCCGGGGGCTGTCCTTCGAGATTCTGTCTTGCTCCATTGCCCATGAAATGCTGGGGACCAGGGGAGGTCAGAAACATTCCTAGAAACCACTAGCATGAAACAGCTACACACCCCAACAGTTCCTCCTGCCTGAGCTGGCTTGTCCTTGAGGCCTGGCAGCAGACTGCCTGTGCAACCGTTTGGGGCAGGAGTGGCCCTTCCTCCCCAGCAGCTGGTGACCCAGCTGGCTCCTCCACTGCTACCTGTCGGATGTCATTACGGACTGAAGCAGTGAGATCAAGCTGCTTAGAAAAAGGGACAGAGACAAAGGCAGGATTGCTTAGCTTTAGTGATGTCTAGGGCAGGACTAAAGCTCATTTGTTCTTTTCTAGACAGAACCCCCTTGCCTGCAGGAATTTTTGTACCAAAGCTTCGTTCTTTCTTTCCCATGTTCTATGAAAATGCAGAAAAACCTTTATAAATTCCTTCCTGCTTTTTGTCCTTCCCCTTTCCTTGCCTTTTTCTTCTCTTTCTTCTTCTTTCAATATACATGTCATCGTGGGAACACAAATGGCTTTGAAGCCAGCCCTGCGTTGAAAAACTCAAATCTTATCATTTCTTAACCATATGACTTGGCATGAGCAAGTGCCTTTTCCTTTCTAAACCTTTCATCTACAAAATAAGACATTAGGATCTATTTTGTGGAACTGTTTTGAATATTAGAGATATATATTTGATATAAATTAAAACAATAAAATAGATCTGTTATTAGCTATTGGTAGTAATACAAATTTCAATTTTATCATTTGGAAAAAACCATAAGAAACATTGATTTTCCTGGGGGGGGGTATATATATTTTCCTAACTATTGAATACCAACACTATACCTGGTTCTAATAAAGCTGAAAGAGAAAACTTTCAGGTCCCACAACATATGAGAAATAACTCCTGGATAATCATGGATACCAGGAAAGGCTGTCAACCTGAGAATTCCAACGAAGGTAATGACAAACCTTCAACCTACTCAATTAAGAAAATCGCAGTAACTGAAATATAGAAAAGAACCCCTGAACATCTTCTAATGGCTTATCTAACAGATGAGGAGACTGAGGCCCACAAAGTTAAAGGTCTTGATTAAGGTTACCTAGATCACTGGCAAAACAGACAACTAGGATGGAAATCTCCCAATAGATAATACAGAGGAATTCCACACTGGCATACTGCAGAAGATACAGCACATATGTAGAAGCATTCAAAGAAATGGTTAATACTGTACAGGAGAAATTGGGTTAAGGACTCTCACCTTCTGTATTGAAGGGACATTCAGTCCACTGAGGGAGAGAGGAAAAAACAAATCATTCTAATGTGGTAAAACTAATTCCTACAAAGTGTAAAAGGTACTCGGGGAAACTCAGGAGAAGCTTTAGCTAAGCCTGCAAGGTCAAGGGAAGATTTCTATTAAAATAAAATGAGGGCTGATCCTGAAGGATGCATATGCAAGACCTGGCAGACAGAGACAACTCTGAGGGCTGAGAGTGCAGGATGGGCTTCATTCAGGATTGGGAGATGGGCAAAGGGTCACCAGGGTGTCCAGGACAGGGGCTCAGAGGCAGGAAGGGCCAGTCATCCTATTTCTGCCTAGAATCTGCATTCAAGGAGGTGCAGGTGAAGGGATGATGGCCAGAGAATAGCCTTGGGGGATGTGGGGACCATCCATTCCTCCTGGAATCTTAGGGAAAGGAAGAAGTTTCTCTTGTCTGTCCCATGATCAATTCTGAATATTCAAGGTGGGAGAGGGGGAGGTGCAGATGACCAAAGACGATCCCATTTGGCCAACTCCCCCTGATTGCTTATAATGAAATGCTTTCTCAGGATGGCTATGCTTCTGCCCCACTTACCACGCTGAGATGAACAGACACGCCTGGGTCAGGGATGGGAAGTCTGTGCAGAGTTTCAAGAAGTTCATTCCACTGACTCTCCTGAAAGAAATAGCAGGCCTCAATCACAACGCAATGCTGAGCCCTTATTAGGTTTGGGCACACTGTGAACCTGGCTGGATGAGTGAGATGGTGGTCGATGCCAGCCCCATTACTGGAAAAGTTTGATATTCAAGTAGGGTTGGACCGAAGACTGTATGGCTCAAACATAAGAGCCAAACGGATCCTCCCACACTGAGTCTGACATTTTCTACTCAGTGAGACACCTACCATGACCGCCTTTTATGGATCATATACCATAAGCTCTCAGTAAATCTATCCCTTCAACTCCATAGCAACAACTTTTAAATGCAAACAATCTGAGCTTCCAGGGCGGGGGTGGTTGGGAGAAATAACGATGGCACTGTGGATCTTGTCTTCATCATCATTACCCTCAATTAATTTTATTGAGTGGTATACAAGGCAGCCTCCAATTATGGAAAGTCAGAAATGAACTGAGCACACCAGTGTACAATATAGGATGGTGGCTGCGCATTTTAATTAGTGAAATTGAGCAACAGAATGACATACAAAGCAGTACAAATTATTCAATTGAAAACAGATTTGCCTTTAAGATGCTCAAGAGAACACTGCTCAGAGAATGATTCAAAAGGCATTTCTCCCACCTGGAAGAGTTCTGTGAGTATAATAGTAATAAGTTTACACTGGTATCTTTTTGTTATGTAGCTGATCCTCCCAACCACCCCACTTCACAGATACGAAGACTGAGGCCAGGAAAAGTGAAGTGCCAAGTCTCACATCAGACACTGAGTGCACAGCTTTGGGGTAAAATGCAGGTGTATTGTGTTCAATCCCAGACCCTTCTTTGCCTCTGGAAGTGCACTTAAGGAAAGGAGAAAGAGGAGTCTGGACAACAAGCTTGTTTCCATCTGAACTCTGACAATCAAGTAAGTTCCTCACAGAGGACATGAATTTACAGGGGTGGACGTATGTGTTTTGTTTTGCTCTGCAACAGTCTCAAATTTACAGAACAGTTGTAGAAATGGTATAAAAAGCTTTTCATTTTGTGATCTGTCTGAGAATGAGTTGCTGACATTATGCTTCTCATTCACAGACATAAACAAGATGTTTCCCTACATAAGCGCAGATAATTATGATTAGAAAATTAACCTTCATGCAGCATTACCATCTAATCTTCAGATCCTATTCTGTCTCATGGTCTTCTGTCTGGAACAGTTCCTCATTCTTTCCTACATGTGTATAACCTTGACAGGAGCTCACCCATTTTGTAGATTCTCAATTGATATTTTTTCAAGATTCAAATTCCAATTTCTTTTTTTATTGAAATTTGCTTTTGTCATTTAATTCCTCTGGTTTTTCTACTGTAAGATGACAACCTTTGCATTTATTAACTATGTTGTAGCATGATAATATAAGTGTCTCATTCCTCAAACACTCCAAAGGAGAAACCTATCTTGTCCAACTTTGTCCAAAGATTTCTAGATGACAGAAGTTTAGGGATTTTCGGAGTGAAGGGGACAGGAGTGGGGAGAGGTATGGTTTTCTTTTTTTTAAGTGCAAACTCTTTCCTCTTGCTCTAATCTAGGGCCAAAACCTTGGAAACTAGCCAATTGTAGAAAATTCTTTACCATCCACATCATAACTCCTGCAACAAGAAGAAACTTTATAAAAAGAGTCATGGCTTCAGGACAGATAAGTTCCAACTGACAAAAACAGTCTCTAACACACCAGGAGGCAGAGGCCTTGCTCAAGGAATGGCCCAGAGGAAAGATGAACTCATATGACAGGGTCATAATCTGGTCTCCCCCATGCCTAGGTTGTACCTACCCAATGTTTCCAGAAAAAAAAAAAAATGTATACTAAATTCTCTTGCTGTTTTTCAGAAAACTGTGAATCAAATCTCCAATTCAAAAACTGTTAACAGCCTACATGTTATACAATTTTATTAAAGATACTTTTCAAATTTGAGTGAAAATCTGAATGTGACTAAAGATAACATTGAATCAAACATCAATGTCCAGATCCAAGGCAACCTCTTAACTCATTTATCAAAGAGTAAATCATTTCTTTCATGACAGAATCCCAGACACCTAAACTTCTTTCAGAATGAGTATAGTGACCAAGAGAACCATTTCCACTTCCATTACATTTCCTTTCTTTTACTGTGACCTAATTGGGAGTAAATCTAACTTGAAGAATAGATTTATACATTATCTATGCAATTTTCACTTTTCCTCCCAAACAGCATTTCCCAAAGTGTATTTCGGGAAATACAGCTATCTCAGAATATTATTTGCCATGGAATTAAAAGGGCTTGAGCCCAAGTGAAATGAGAAGCACTGTGTAGCAAAGATTCTCTCCTGTAAAGAAACAACCCAAAATAAAGAAAATGCTTTATTCTCAAAGATACTAATGGACTTTTTTTAAGACACAGGGTTAAGATAAAGCCTTACTATGCAGGCTCAGACTCTTAGTGATCCTCCTGTCTCAGCCTCCCCAGTGCTGGGATTACAAGCATGTGCCACTGTGTCCAGTTTCAGTGGCCAGCACAGCACGTCTGGGATTCTCCAGGCTGGCACGGCATAAGGTACCAGGGATCGAACTTATGTACCTTGGTAAGCAGGCACTTAGACTGCTGAGCTATCTCCTCAGCCAGGATGTACCTTTTATAATCATCAAAGAAATTCCAAATAAAGTGCCCAGTAAAAGCAAACTATTCCTATAAGTCTAGGTACATGATATGATGTTATATAGCCATGATAAATGTTTATATCTTTTTAATAGCATGGAAGAAATGATTCTATTATTATGGTGCCTGAATATATGGACTACAAAATCTGAACAGAGTCCAATTCACCTCTATTGTCCAAGGAGGAGATCTTAGTATACCATTTCTTCCAAAAGTACAATCAAGTACAGCTGAACTTTTAAAGTAATTTTCAGACACTTGGAGAAATTACCCTGAACGCACCACAAAGCTTTATCAAAATGGGAACTTGGGCAGCTGGACTGTCACTTAACTTGTGTTAAGTATATTGCTTGCAAACCCTGAATTTGTAGCATGATACAAACAGTTCAAATCAGCACCTCAGCAAAAGTATAATTTCATTCATATCAAGAATTTTCAGGGCTGCTTGGGCACATTAGACATTTGTGAATATTAACTCTATAAATGCTAAGGGTCTATTTATCATTGCTCTAACTCAAAGAAAAAAATACAAAAGAAAGCAACCCCAATACAAGCAGCATTTATTTTAGGAAAGAGAGTTGGGTCAGATTAGATTAAAGGCGATTTTCTTTTCCTTCCTATGATTTTTTGAATTTCCCACTTTCTCAATGTTTTAGTGAAATATAGCTCATTTATTGCTTTCATAATCATAAAATTAAAGTTTACTTGTTAAAAGGAATTATTTTTTTAAAAGGCAAATACCTGTCTTTTTGTTGTGTACTCTGCCAAGATGTTAAGTAGCTTATAAAATACCTCGAACCATGGGAGATAGCTGAGGGAAGAAGAAACAGAAATATTAGTATGCAAGTCAAAAACAGAACCAGGACCCAATTCAAGACTGATACGTTTGAGTTTTTCTCTACATCCTGAAGAGTCTTCCTGTCATAGATTGTGCTGGAATCACAGATGGGCAAAATGCTAATTATTTCTAGGATTTAAAAGAAAACTGCCTATGTGAGGCAGAGGAGTGAATGTCCGTTATAAATTATTCCCATGCCTCAAAGCCAAACAGGTTCACAGAGAAGGAATTCAAAGCCAACTCTGCAATCAGATGCATCTCTGAGTGGTCCCTAGGCCTCTCCAAACCACACCCACCATCCCAAGTGACAGGGGATGACAATTCTCATGACTGGACACCAACTGCTGCTGGTATCTGCAAGTTGTTCCACAGGCCACACACACTCCAAGCCCCTCCTGTTGATATACCAGACCTTGTGCCTCTAATGCACCCACTCTATCCTCTCCGCAAGATGACTGACTCACACTTCATGCCCACTGCCCTTCACTAGGTCCTGACCACTGCTGCTCAAGACTTGCAAGATGGCCTGGCTATTGAGCTAGACTTTTAAGGCCACCCTCTGTATGACTCTTTGACTGGCATTTCTAAAATGTAAATCTGCTTCACACCCTGGATTAATTCCTGCAATGGAGTCCCATCTAGCAGTTGGCACTTCATAGGATGGCTTTTGAGGTTCTTCCTTGTCAGGCTCTTGACCACCTCTTCAGTGGTCTCTTTCTACTTGGTCGTATGCCTGCTCCTCTCATGCAGTCTCATTCCAGAATATCAGACAGCCTCTAGGCTGCCTCAGCTAGCACACCTTGGCCCTTTTCTCTCTCAGACCTGGGTGGCCTAGTCTAGTTGATTTCTGCTCACCCTAACAGGATCCTACCTTTTCCATCTCTACTTCACATGCCCTAATTCCACCTTTTCTGGGCTCCCTGGGTCATACACATATTCCTAATATTCCATACATAATATAGCACTCAAGGATGCCCCTGTCTTCTTCACAGACTGCAAGTCAAGAGGAAGGAGCACACTTTCCTTCCCCTTGTCTCCCAGCATCAAGAACAGATGGAGCCTGGTGTGCAGTCAATGGTCAGTGTGTACTGAACAAATACAACTAGACAAAGACCAAGGGCAAAGTCACCTCTGCACTATGGAAAATGATTGAAAAGCATTTCTGCTCCCAAGTTTTTCTACCTGTTTTAAATAGCTTGATTTTCTCTAAGGAACTTTCCCAAAGCTACACAGCACAGGCCTGTGAGATGCATCATACCAAGCACTTGTTCCATGCTCATGTCTGCCCTGCTCAGCTAATGGTGTCCATTACCGATAGAGAGCTCAACCCAAGGCAGAGAACACATGTGACATCCTGCCCGGAGAGGGATTCAGCACCCTGTACAGATTGCTGGCTGTGCTGCTGAGGGTAATAAATGAGGTGAGAGGCAATAGAGAGGACAGATAAAGTGCACAATCCCCTATCAGTGACGTGTGTCTGAAGCCAGCACATGCTACTGTAAAATTTAAGTAGCTTATCAAAATACACTGATAAGCAACTTAACTTTTCACTCCTATGACAGTATTATCACTTATGTTAATATGTTTCCATCAGCTCTGGCAGCCGCATATGGACTGTTCCAGAGCAAATGGCTGCTGCACTCTCCACGGGCGGACTCTGTGACTCTGCAGAGAATGTAAACATTTAAGAGGGATTAGTCAGGAGATAGTGTCTCCCTTCCTCTTCTGCTAAGTAAACCTCAGCCAGTTAAAAGCCATTAGACTATAACAAGAAACCCCCTCAGAAGAAAACTCCTGCACAGATTAGAGGACTCTTAGTAAACAAATTCAACCAAGGGTTTCAAATCTTTCTTTTCCAGAGAAGAAAATACCACTAGTTAAAGTCAGCAATTGGGAGCCAGCAGGGAGGGAAGAGGCCAAGAAGAGGAAATACTGGCCTCAAGTAAATGAAAGGGAAGCTGAGTTCACAGAAAAACTGGATCAAGTGTGGTAAGGCAGGTTGGCTTTGCTGATGGCTTAGGATCACATGTAGTATGTCGAAAGTGTTAGATGACTAAGTTAACAGATTTTCATGACTTCAGCAGAGAGCCTCAGCCTCAACATTCTCTCTCAACTTGCTGTGGCCCACAGCAGACATCTCTGTTTCTTACACTCAGCCCCCACCTCACCAAATCAATTCTTTTTGGCTACGCTATGCAGAACCATTGGCTGGAGCAGTTTTACAGCTACCCTGGAAACCAGCCATTTCTTTCTCCTTTCAGCCTGACCGGACACAACTGTTCCCCACATGTTGTCCCCTGTGCGTTGACAGATGAGTATCTAGTGATGGCAGTGTTAAGGTCTGAAACCAAAACCCAGCTGTCTTCTTCTTCAAAGGGTCCCTGTTTCCCGGCTGGGAGGCCAGGGTTCACAGCTGAGTTTTGTCCTGTGGCGTTTCCGGTCCTGCTTCATTAGTGCTGGCACCACGGCCTGTGCTGCCTGGAGGCTGCAGGTGAGGACATGGAGCCTCCACTCCATTTTGTGTGTGTCTGTCATCAGTGAGTCAACAATACTTCCCAGTCAGAGACAGGAAATAAACACTCCATTAAGCTGTTCCTCCCTGGCCACCTAAAGAGCCCCAAACTCTTCGCTACTGCTGTGCTTGTTACCTTCATATAACTGCTTGTATCTTCATTTGTGTGCTGGGTTCAGTCCAAAGCTGGGGGCAAAATGACAAGGAGTCCCTGCATTCAAGAAGGCCACTGTACTAGAGATATGTAGACAACAGAGTAAATGTTGCGGTAGGAGGATCTGGGAACCATTTCTAAGCGCCTAAACATTTGGTTTTCAATAGAATACAAACACTGACATGAAGCATCACGGTCAGGACCCTACCAGCAGAGGTAAAGGCCCACAGGGGAGTGACCTCTTTTCAGGCATGAGCCTGGATCCACACTTCTCTCACCAACCACGACTGAGAGGCGCTCCCACCCTCTGCTCCTGACAAGCAGATGAAGAGGCTTTCTTCTCAGTGAGGTCATCTAAAGCCTTAGACCTAGAAGAGCTTAAGGCGTACCGCACGTGGCCTCTGATATGAAATCAAGGTGCTCAGTCATTAGGTAGGCAGATGGGGTAGATAAAAGAAAGAGAAATATATGCATGTACAGATCATATGCACACATATTCTCTAGGTTTAGCCATGGAGAAGGGCTGGAAGCAGAAATACTCCAATTATAAGGAGCACACTTAGGGTCCAGAGCTTGGTTTCTAAACACTGCTACCTATAAAAGGAACCAAGGCTCATGAAGAAATGTCAGCTTGGAAGGTAGGGACTGGGAAATGCTTTGTGCTTGACACATGATCTGGGTATATCAAGGGAACACAAAAGGAGGGTTTCCCACTCACAAAGTCTACTACAATTTGAACAATAAAACAAATAACAATAGAAATAATAAGTTATACTAAAACAGGAGACCAACAACCAATTCTGATGTAAAATAAATGAAAGTTTGATGCGGGATGGAGTTACTCACTGTCTCAGTTATTTCTTCACAATTATGAAAGGAAAAAGAAAGAAACCTCGGGACACTAACTCACTCCAGAAGTGGAACAAATTGAAATGCTGCGCTACCTGAGCAAATACAACAGGAGCACACAGAATCATGAGTACTACATTCCTACGAAGGCAGCAGAAGCTCATTCAGAGAAAATGGCAGATAAACCAAACCGAGGGACACTCTAAAAATGAGAGCCTGTCATGTCCTTAGAGGTCTAGGAAACACTGAGGAATAGGAGCAGATGGAAGAGACATGACACATAAAAGCATCATTGATACTGAAGTTTGTTATGTAAAAAACAAAAACAAAAAAAAAACCATGAGCAAGAGAAATGCAGGGGTTATGGTGGCATTTTATCAAAATGAACATCAATTTGCTGAGTTTGGAGGGTGCTGGGGATGGAAGCCAGTGCCTCACACGTTAGGTAAGCGTTCTTCCATTGGAGGGTTCCACATCCCCAACCCGAATTTTCTGATTTTTATGACTAACATATAGTTATGTAAAAGAAAATAATCTTCTTTTAAAAAGACACACTAATTGTTTGGGGTTTTGAGGCATTATTTTAGGAATTTGTCTCAAATAGAACTGGAATAAAAGCCCGTTTTGTTGTACTTGGGACTTTTAAGTTTATTATTGTTACAAACAACAAAAAGGGGGGAGACGGTCTTCTTTTATAAAAATATAATGTAAGTACACGAGCCAGAATGACATGTGTTGGGAAATAAATGAAAAGTTTCATAGCACGGGTATAGGGGACACACATGACAGAGAGACATGACAGGAGTCACTTCCTATCTCACAGAAAAGGCTGAGCTTTGGCCAGGCCCTAGGTGAGCTGGTCACCAGTGAAGAGAAGAAAGGCTGAAAGCGGTGGGGACAAGAAGGCTAGCAGGCAGACAGGGCCAGGATCTGGAAGGCCATATCGATGGGCCTCCCCATTATTCTGTTATGGGAACCAACAGGACAGATAAGGAGGAATAACAGTCTGAGGACGAGTACTTAGAACATGGTAGAAAGTGATTATTTCATCCTCTTCTTCAGCACAGCCCAGAAGATACTCACTTTTTCAGAATCAGTATACAATTTGCTATCAAAAAATGGGAATCTTAATATAATCACTCATACAGATATATATTTCTTTTTTTTTTTTTTTCAGTACCAGGGATTGAACTCAGGACCCTGTCCTTGCCAGGCAAGCGCTTATTCTACTGAGCTATCTCCCTGGCCCGATAATTTTTAGGAAGAGGTCAATATAATGTTTTGGCTTCACTTTAGAAGGAAATGAAAAAAGATTATACATAAAAGGACAATGAACTTACAGTAAGATTTTGCCATGTAAATATTCAGGCACAGCACATTGGAAGTTACAGAGAAGCAGCACCTTCTGGCAAGACTGGAGGTAGAATCACACCTACTCATACCTGGATTAACACCAAG